GAGATGGGTAGTATTAGGGGCGGGATTAGGGATAGGGGGCGGAGATGGGAAGGATTAGGGGTGGGGTTAGGGATAGGGGGCGGAGATGGGTAGGATTAGGAATCAGGGGGCGGAGATGGGTAGTATTAGGGGTGGGGTTAGGGATAGGGGGCGGAGATGGGAAGGATTAGGGGTGGGGTTAGGGATAGGGGGCGGAGATGGGTAGGATTAGGGATCAGGGGGCGGAGATGGGTAGGATTAGGGGTGGGGTTAGGGATAGGGGGCGGAGATGGGTAGGATTAGGGATAGGGGGCGGAGATGGATAGGATTAGGGATCAGGGGGCGGAGATGGGTAGTATTAGGGGTGGGGTTAGGGATAGGGGGCGGAGATGGGTAGGATTAGGGATAGGGGGCGGAGATGGATAGGATTAGGGTGGGGTTAGGGATCAGGGGCGGAGGTGGGTAGGTTTATGTATATGAAAGGTGGGAGGAGTTGGATTTGGATCCAGCTCCTCCCCCTGGATGTCATGTTCTGCAGTGAGGACCATCTCAAAAATACAGCAAGTGTAACGTGTGAAGTGCAACTCTGTCATATAGACTACATAACGATTATGATTGATTATTATAATGAGAACTTTATTATTGTGTGTTTGGGACATGGATTTTAATGGTGAGACTTGTTTTTTTTTTAATCAGGGTCAAAAATTACATAAAAAATTTGATTTATTGGACAATGTATCCATTATTGGCTTTCAAAAATCAGTCAAACATTCCATAACCCTACTTAAAACTATCATGTAAGGTCAATAAAATGTGTCCAAGGAAGATATATGCTGGTTCTTGGCCATAATGAGCAACTGAAGAGCATTATTAGAACCAGATTTAGATGCATTTGAGCCCTAATAACTGCTGTCAAAATACTCCCAAAAAACATGACAATAAAACCATTAAAAAACAATCTGGTGTTGGAAGAAAATGGGCGTGTTCACATCTCAAAAAGATTAAAGCATTCTACGCTCTTTTGTTTTGCACTAGCACAGTAAAATAGCTGAACGTTGGCCAAGCAACAATGGGCATTCACCAGCTTCCCAACATTATCATTAGTGGCGAGTTTAACATGCGTGGAAACAAAAACTAAACACAAACAGAGATTGGTGTGAAACGACCACAGATATCAGAGCAACGCTCGTGGCGTTTGATTCATCATTGGACAAAGAGGCTGTAACGAGAGAGCGAGGTTTAGAGTTGCTTAGCCTCAACACTCACCTTCCTGAAGGTGTACGGTTGCGTTCTCCATGATTGGGGAGTGGGAAAGCAAGAGCTTGTGGAGAACATTGGAGATCACTGAGCCATGTGTGTGTGTGTGAACTGATTGTTTCAGGTGTGTAAGTGATTTCACCTGTAGGTTTGGTTGTTATCTTCCACCCTGCTGGTAGATGCTGGAACTACACCTAACGGAGTGCTTTCTCCAAGCACTGTTGCGTCTCAATTCTCCTACTTATACTACGCCCTAAAAGTGTGCACTCTTTTTGTGAGGAAAAGAGTGTGTAGCAGAAGAGTACACAAGCTTTAACTCTTAGAAGAAATGGTTCTATTTAGAACCAGAAATGGTTCATATATGGAACTCCAAAATGGTTCTATATAGAACCATTTTTTTTGTAAAAGGTTCTACTGGCCAAGTATGGAACCCCAGGGTTCTATATAGAACCCAGAGGAACCCTTTTTTAAGAGTGTATAGAACCTTTTAGGGGCCTTTTTAAGGTTCTATATAGAACCTTTTCTTCTAAGAGTGCATCACGTCTTTAACGGTGTCTCTCCACACAGTAAACTGGCCTGTCAATCATCTTATCACAGTTAAACTCCTCCACTTTTCATTTACTTTCCTACCGTATCGGAGAGAAATGCAGAATCATGTTGATCTTTCATGCCGAGACTCTCCTGACATAAATGCATTTAAAAGTTAATGGCCAAACGGATCTTTATAAAAGTCCACGTTGTTCCAGGTGAAATAAAACATGGATAACATGAAACAAAAATCAGGTTAAACTTTGATTAGTCACTCAAACATTTATCTAAACCTCTCACCGTCTGTCGCGCGCATCCGCCATGTTTTTTTAACCCTTTTTACTTGTGTTTGTAGTTCTTCCTCCAAAAAGCAATGGGTTGTGGGCAATATTATCTGTTATAGTGATCACGGATGACATGCATACTCTTTCATACACTTATTTTAAAGGGTAAGTTCGAGTTAATGACGAGTCACTAATGACATCATATTCATTTTTGGGTGAACTAGCCCTTTAATCTCACATACTGTTTAGGGTGAATAGCGTATAGACCTGCTTGACGCCCAATGACCCTCCGTCAGGAAACGAGAAACAAGCTTCCTGCAGCTGGAGAGGCCAACAAAAGGGCCAGTGTCCAAACTCAGACTAGCTCTGTTTTCAGGTACGGACTGAAGCAACAGCAACAGCAACAGCGGGATGTGCCGTGTTCACATCGATCGTCTGCTGTGCAGACTTCACTAGTCACAATTATACAAAAAATGCATTCATATTTTTCTTCTGGCCACACAGATCTAGAGAAGCCCGCGGTGCCGATGAATTATTCAGCGGTTCCACAAAATAGTATCACACTTTAATAATGCATGAACCAATTTAGGAATAAGGGTTTGGGTCGACTAAGTGTGCTTTTGTGCAAAGGTTTATCAAAGCCTGGAAAGTTCATTACGAGAACGAGTCGAATTAGCGAACATTAGTTATGACATGCAGAAAAGATGAACAAATGTCTGTTTTTTTGGTGAATATTGGGCAATTTTTGTATACATCTGATTTTTTAATTTAATGACATGGACATAAACTTAAACCAGTTTCCACCTATACGAGTAAAAAAATTAAATTATACATACAAAGGTAATTGTGTTTTTATTTCTTGGAATTGCAACTGAATTTGTAATTGCGATTGTACAGGTGAAACTCGAAAACTTATATATTTCAAGCCTTTATTTGTTATCATTTTGATGATTATGGCTTACAGATATGAAAACCTTTTCACAATATTCTGGGTTTTCATATTTTTAATCCATAATCATCAAAATTATAACAAACAAAGGCTTGAAATATCTAATTTTGCATGTAATGAGTCTATATAATATAATAGTTTCACCTTTTAAGTTGAATTACTGTAAGTAAATTAACTTTTGCACCATATTCTAATTTTCTGAGTTTCACCTGTATATCATATTTTAAATTTGACCTTAAAAGTACTCTCATATTTACTCTGTCTGTCATAGCATTGGATTGCACGCTTTACAAACCCATATAGGTCAACCACTAGTAAAGTTAAACCGCCTGAGATGGATGAGGGGTTTTCCTGCATGTACAAAATGTCCAGTCAGCATCAATGGACTTAACTAAAACAGCATATTCTTTATATCCAACTACCTGACTCTATATTCAACAAAGTCTCAAAGCCTTGAATGCATATAAAAAAATGCCAGTTAACATGCGCCTTAAAGGGATAGTTCACTTTGAAATTAATTTTTGGTATGTTTTATCTTACCTCAAGGGCATCCGAGATGTGGGTGTGTTTGATTCCGCAGTATTTTCAATTTTGATATTTTTAGGTCAAACCGTTCTTGTCTGTCAGTATAATGCAGGTCTATGGTCACCACCTCAAAGAGCATGCACAGAGAAGTCCAGATTAAACATGATTTAATGACTCGTAAATTTAAGTACACATTGATGGCCTAAGACACAAAATGAGCGATTTGTGTGAGAAAACGAACAGAATTTATATCGTTTTTACCTCTTGTAACCACAGCCACGTCCAAGTGATCTGAGGGCGCTGGCGCTTTGTGGCTGTGGTTACAAAAGGGAAAAACGATATAAATACTGTTCGTTTTCTCACACAAACCGCTCGTTTCGTGTCTTAGGCCATCAATGTGTACTTACATTTACAAGACATTAAATCATGTTTAATTTGGACTTCTCTGTGCATACTCTTTGAGGTGGTGACCATAGACCTCCATTATATGACTGACAGACAAGAACGGTTTGACCTAAAAATATCAAAATGAAACTACTGCAGAAACAAAGACACCTACATCTTGGATGCCCTTGAGGTAAGATAAAAACATACCAAAGATTAATTTCAAAGTGAACTATCCCTTTAAAGGCCAATGTTCACCAAAAAAAAGGCAGCTGTTATTAAATAAATATGAATATTCATCTTACAAAAGCGCAGACGGTATTAATTAAGTAATATGGATTACTTTTACGATGGATAGATATGCTTTTTCGGCTTCAAATTTCTCAGGGACCATTCACACTCATTATAAAGCTTATATAATATATATAACTTTATGTTGAAAGAAGAATGTCATATACACCTAGATTGGCTTGAGGGGGAGTAAATCATGGGATAATTGTAATTTTTGGGGTGAAATAACACTTTAAAAGTTACCTATTGAGTGCTGAACACAACGAAGGTTGGGACACATCCCAGACAACTGCAAAAATGTCGACGGTTAATGTTTCCTAGGCTACGACCATCCGAAACCTCTATGCAAGTGAACTTTGCAGTCCAGTAAATAAGGTCATATCCTCCTGTTTCTATCAATGAGTTACCGGCCTGTTACTCTGATAGAGTTTACATTGTATTGCATCTCGAATAGCCTATGTATTACTAGTTATTGATTCCTTGCATGCACTGAAATGCAAAAAGCCTACGCTGTCAAATAAGCATTTAGTGTTATACATACTATTAATAATTCGCATCTTGGTTTGTTATTGTACAATGTGATGGTCTATGAACGCAATAGAGGCATAATTTCTGTTTTTATTCTCAAAACAGAGGTGCATAACGTTATGCATTGACATTACTGAATAAATCACATTGAAAAAATAACCTCAATAAATAAAGCACATGTTCTATGCACAAATATTGACACAGAAGGAAAAATCAAGTGTTCATGAATGCACGACATGCAGAATGTGTGTTACTGAAGTTAGAAACTCACTCACCTCTCGCCTATTTCAACCGGATACTGGGCGTCTAAAGAGTAACTTTCGTTCGTCAAACCTCCATCTAAACACAATGACAGCCAATAAACAGCCTACACAAGGATAAGGCGTACAACTATCTTATATGGCCGATAAAATGTGTCCAACAGGTATGTGTTGGGTCTGAGCCGCTGGTGTGAATAATTGAAGTGTTTTCTTCTCCCTCTTTTCGCGTTTGGTTACCAGAGAGTTTGTAACCTGACTCCACCTTTTCGAAAAGTTTCAAACGTGAGTTGTCTCAGGCGCTCGGTGAGTGACGTTCTAATTGACCAATCACGTTCGGGTTTGGCTCCCCAACGGGCCAACCAGAGGGAAGAGAGGAGCGTGCGTCCAGCCTTCCATACGGTTTCCCGTCATTATCCTGAGAAAATCCAAGGCTGAAAATTTCCCAGAGGAAATTCTGTTGAACAATGAAGGGGAACTCTCGTAACTAGTGATTTTTCTTCTGTAAACAAAATGGCGGTCGACCTTTAATATATAGTTTCATTGGGTTGTTTACGTGAGGTATACCTGAAACTGTATCGTTTATTATTTTTATTATTTATATAAGTGAACTTTACATCAAGGGATACATAGAAAGGTACGACACAGATAGTCATCCTCGCCGGATGTTGACCTGTTTTTCCGTTTATAAATGGAAAACATTCAAAAACATCCGGTGGCTGTAAATAAACACTAGAAATTCTTAAACCATGACATCCTCTTCAGTGACTGATAACACAAACAACCCTAACACCTGCGACCACAGATGGAAATAATCGAATACGACAATAACACATAGAAATAATGTTTCTTCTACATTTAATAATATTTCATTATGTCTTCTTCTTTTTTTACAAGAATGTATTACATTTAGCAACAATATATATATATTTTTTTTTAAAAAAAATGCTTTTATTACTATTAAAAAATATATATTTTTTATTAGACCTTCCACAGTGGTTTTATCATGGTTTTTATGGAAGAAAAGCCGCGCGCATTATGGGATGTTACACAGCCCGATGGCGCCGCCCAGCGCTACAACGTTGTATTGCAGCGTCCGTGTCAAAGTGCAGCAAAATGGACAAATTCTTTAAAAATATCAGCAATTTTCTTCATATACTTTTTGATGGCCTTTTCAATGTGACCAACTTAATTTATTAATAAATAAAAAAATATATTGAAAAAATTAAAATATATAAATTAAAAAGTGTTTTTGTTATTTCATATGAAACGTCTCGAAGCCTAACGACTGCTAAAAATAAAGAAAACATTTGAATTGAGCCGAAAATCAACATTTGTACAAATGATTACTGTCACTTTAAACATGTTCCTGCTCTCTCTCTCTCTCTCTCTCTCTCTCTCTCTCTCTCTCTCTCTCTCTCTCTCTCTCTCTCTCTCTCTCTCTCTCTCTCTCTCTCTCTCTCTCTCTCTCTCTCTCTCTCTCTCTCTCTCTCTCTCTCTCTCTCTCTCTCTGTGTGTGTGTGTGTGTGTGTAATCTATCTGAAGATAACGGACCACCGCTTGAGCTGAGTCATTTTGGCGATTCGGTTCATTTGAACAATTCGCTGTTTAAAACAATTTGGAAGTTTAACTTAGGTTATGAAATAAAGATTTTTTTTAATCAAACTATTTTATCGCCGTCATTGATATACACTGGTGTGTATTTCCGTTGTCCAGTTTCCAACCTTTCGAATATGTTAGTTTTCTACATTTCGAAACACCCAAACTGACGTCTAACCAAGTGATTCCGCTTTGCGAGTCGACTCCATCGAATTGTTCAAAAGAACCGGCTAACATGAACACAAGGACATCATCGTCGCTTTTTTTTCTTTTTCTGTGCACTAACCTCAACTTCTTCACAGTGCGATGCGGATGTCGGTTCTCACGTGAGGCTTTAGAGACATTTTAGGTCCATTTGGGTTTTTTTTTTATCTGTGTGTGTTTTTTCTCATTGTGCGTCGGAGAATCTATCACACGCTGAGCGGTTTTGTGCGCAGGTTCATTTTAGGCTTAATTTGGCGATTTTTATTTCTACCTGTTCTCTATATTCGACTCACATATGGACATACTTAAGGATCATTTCTGCTTTAAACCTCTCGCCATGAGATGAAACCCAGAGGAGATGTTATACTTACAGGATAACGTAAAGGAAAGGACGCGCTATTTCGGCACATGAAGAATTTTGCATATGGACACACGTCACATGTGCGGCATAAAGAGGTTATGCTTTTTATTAGCCTTTAACGTATCATTTCGGAATTGCTTAAATTGTGAGCCCTCTGCTTAAATTTATAACAAATGAACTGTGATAGGCAATGCAGGCATGCCGTGCAATGGATTTTGCAACCATTAAAAAAGGGAAGTGTTAATATCAATATATTATAGGCTATACAGAGAAGATGTTGGAAAACTAATCGGTTTACTCTCCAATGGCATGTATGCACTATAGGATATAAAATAATATTTTATTTTCTCTTTTTATAAGGGGTTAACGTTTGTTTGGCATAATTTGTTAATTGGCATTAGTAGTTTATTAGTCTTAATTTAGAAGACAGACAGGACACGTTGGATGCCATAATCAGCTTACGGTTTACAGCAGCTATAGCTGGTGGCACTCCTGCATTGTGTATCTCCATTGCTTTTCGAGCCCCTAAGTGGCTTGTTATTAAAATATTTCTAGCGTAATGGACACCAACCACATGGATGATGGGTCTTCTAGTGATGGCATGGAGATGGAGATCATGCCTGGCTACATTGAGCTCATCACCAGCGCATGTTCAGTCATTTTCAGTGCCTTCAGAGACTGTAAAGACTGCGGACTGGAACTGTCCAGAAAAACCTTGCTGGATCATGCCTACATAACCTGGATGGAGATCTTCATGTTCTTCATGAGCGCGGTCATGTGGACGAAGGTGCGCAAGGGCCTGACCATGTACATCTTTGAGGTAAATACACTCCAGAAGCCACGGTCAATACAAACACAACTGATACTGACTAGGCCCATTGTATAAAATAGGTTTTCATTTCATTTCGGTATCGGAAGTTCAGGGGTGAAGCCTGTAAATATATGAATATTAAACACCAGGTTTTGAAAGCATCATTGGCGCCCTCAATGAATATCTGAAGTAGATTCGAAACATTGGACATTTGCATATTAAAGGTCATTTGAGGATAGATGTGAGTGAGATAAGTGGTGTTTGTGAAGTCAAGCATCTCCAGGACTGCTAGTGATCTGAAAGAGTACGCAAACACTTCTCTTTTCTCAAGAGGTGTTGTTGTTTCTGAAAAGCAGACGTTTAACACTTAACATGCAGAAGTTCACAACTTATTTTGGCTGTGAACATGGGTGTAGTTTTTTTCCTCTTTAGAAGAAAGACCTCGGCTATTTGTGTTCTCTGTTTATGGTCTGAAACTCACCATGTAAAGTTGCAATGTGCTCAAGAGCTGCTTTACATAGTTTTTTTTTACTTTGCATTTTAACTTTTACATACAACGATGGCTATGCAAACGGGTTACATTAACTATCAAGTTTCCCCGGACATAAAATTGGATCGAATTGCCTTATTTCTGAGACTATGACATGCCACATTTAGCATTGCTTGCTTGTGTTCAGCTAAGAATGATTGAATGTGGCGAACGTTGGTTTCACTTCCTGTCCTGAAATGTGTTTTGATGACTCGTTTGAGCTCTGCTGATGTGCTGCGATTACTGGGATCAACGCCGCCATGATTCATGGGCCTCTGCATCCATGTTTACTCAGGTTCCTCCTCCTGTAAAGTCTTTACTCGCAGCACGTGGAGAAAGCCTGGCGACTGGCGTGGTGTTTATATGGAAAAATGTGACGTGTCAGGACCCTGTCTGGCTTGTAACTCTTGGGTAAGAGAGTGTGAGGTCTTGGGAAAGAGTTGCAGGCCTGCAGTTTGTGATTAAAAACCATTAAAAATGAAAAGATGACAGTTTAGCCTAGTCAAATGTGTCAGATCTGATATCTTGTGCTTCCTGGCTAATCATATCCCTCATCATGAAAGAGGGTTTCCCCTTCAATACATCACAAGATTGAAGTCATTGATCAAACCATTGCATGCTTAAAGTATGCCAAAAACATACTTAACCCAAATATGACCATTTTATTTTATTAAGTCATAGAATAGCTTTCAATAGCGCTGTTTCCATTACAGATTTGCGCGAAACTGTTGATTAAAAACTATGCTGTTTCCAGTAACCGATGTTATCCGACTGAAACTTTATTTCTTCCTCTTGCGATAAGTCATTTAAAAAATCATGCCGACGTATGTATTTCGCAGCCATAACTAGACATTATTTTTAAAGGAAGGAGACGTAGGCGTGTTATTGAAGCATTAACGGCAAGGAAAGCCCCTTATACTTGTGAGCAGCTCGTATGAGGTGTTTCTCCCATAGATATCCATAATAAAGGCTAGATGTCTTACGGCTGAATCTCTATCGTCATCACCGGCGGCCATCTTGTCACAGGCAAGCTTTCTGGCAGACTCTGATGTAAGATGAGTGATCGGCACGAACACAAATACTCTTATCTCGTTGAAATCTTGATGACGGTTTGGTTTCTTACAAACGTATTAACGTGGCTATAATTCTGGATGATTATTTATTGATACACTTAAGTGCGCAGTGTCATAACTAAATCTCTGACGTTTATAACAAACCAAACCGTTTGAAAATCGGTAGAAAATTGAGCAAGTTTTGGTTATTTAAAAAGTTCATGCACCATTAAAACACGGCGGCCTGTGACAAGATGGCCGCCAGTGGGGACGTCGACCTCCATTCGCTAGCAGCGTGGACGAGGCATCTAGCCTTTATTAAGAATATCTATGGTTTCTCCCTCATCTCCGCTTCAAGCTCTTGATAAATTGTGGCGTTTCTTTGTGGTTTAGAGTCCAGTATTCCCGTGATACTTTTGTCTGAGTTTGATGAAGAACTCTGTCTCGTCTTCTGTCCACAAACACCGCGCCATCTACGTCAGGTGACCTGTAAATGTGCAAAACCGTTTCCGGTTTGCAAAATATTCCTTTTTCGAATTGCCTGAAAAATCCACCTCATGCGAGCGATTGAAATTTCAATTTGCGCAATTTGAAGGGTAATGGAAACGTAGCTACTGATATTCACTGATAGTCTTATAGTGAGATGTTAACCGCTGGAAAGATTGAGTCAGCGCGTTGAACTCAAAAATCCAACACTATCTCACAAACAATTCGTACAAATTTGTACAGGTGATTAAAAGGTGGCTAATTCGTAAGAATTCGTACAACCTCACTCGTGTTGGTTTAGACTAGAGCCCGACCGATAAAGGATTTTGAGGGCCGATACCGATACAAATATTTTTGGGTTTTAAAATCCGATATATCGGCCGATTTTTTTTTTTTTTCGAAACGCGCAACAAAACATTAACAGATTTCCTTAACATTAGTTATTTGTAGTTATTTATGAGTTTTAACTAAAATAATATAATGCATTTTAAAACGAAACTTGTTTCTTTTATTGTCACAACAGAACAGACTGATGATAGCGGCGTTAGCTAGCTTTATGGTTAGCTAGTAGGGGTGTAACGGTACACAAAAATCACGGTTCGGTACGTACCTCGGTTTTAAAGTCACGGTTCGGTACGTTTTCGATACAGCAGAAAGATTTTTTTAAAAGAAAAAGATTTGTTTAAAGAAAAAATATTTTTAAATAAGTGTGAGTTTTTCTAGATCTTGAAACTTTCAGGTTTATAAATAGGGGTCATATTTGAAGGATGAACAAATAATGTTTTGGTCATCACATTAAAAATAACATTTAAATATATATCTATTTATATAATATTTGAATTTTGAAGTGCTGGAAAAAGATGTGTGAAGTACTTGAAAGCATTTCATCATTCCAGCCAAACTGGTTCCAGTTAGTGTTACTATATTAAATCCATGGTGAATGTTGCTGGTCTGTGGACGAAAAGTATTACTAGTTCATTCATGGCACAACGTTTCTCCTGGTTTCCATGACAGCGCTGTTTGATCTAATAGAGATAATAACGTAGAAATGTGAATGCATCTCACTAGATCTTGCAGCCATGTTATTACCTCAGTGGCGAATTCAAATGTTTTCTTTACCGGATCTCTTAGCGCGGTGTGGTAACAGTGTTGCTTGATCGAGATCGGCTCGCGCTGCACAGATGTTGCTGGTCCGAACTGATAAACGATCCGTGAAGCACATAACGAGTAGCGCAGTTTCGTTCTGCTTTCATTACACTTGCCATTTGGATGTTGCGCAACGTTGTGTTGGCCACGTCAGCACGAATTTTGCCGGCAGGAAAAATGGTCCAAGCAATCGTTCGGTTTGTATGCGTACCGAACCGGAAGCCTCGAACCGAAACGGTTCAATACGAATACATGTACCGTTACAACCCTATTAGCTAGTCTATGATGAGCCATATTTTAGCAATGGATGACGTCATACTACAAAGTGTAAAACATAAATTTTCAATATAACAGGCCAATGAGAGGTGATACGTCTCATTGCTATAACTGTCACGCGCTATTAAAGAAATACTTCAGTCACGTTGTCAAAAGTTAAAAGGACAGTCAGTCAACTACACTTATATTATTATAACGTAACGTAATTATTACTAACTAACTCTCGGCTTATTTAACAGCAGAAAAACTGGACATGATAGTCACAAATTCTGTCATGCTTATTTGAGTTAAGAGAACTGATGGGGATGTTCTTTTAATTGTTATTCAAGCAATGTATGTATCGTGCCCAACTCAACGAGTGTTGCCAACAGGGACGGTGTAGAGTGCCCTCTGGTGGACAAACTATACAACTCCAACACTCATGACATGGTTCAAGCGTGTTTCGTCCGTTTTAATTTTTTTATTTTTGAAATATTCATTTATCGGCCATTATAACTGCCGATACCGATAGTTTGGAAAATGCCTAATATCGGCATGCCGATATATCGGTCTGGCTCTAGTTTAGACTCGATTTGTCTAAACCCACGTGATGGGTAGGTTTAGGGGCGGGGTCAGGGTTAGGTCATTCATACGAATTCGTCACCTCATAAAATTCGTACGAATCGAATAACCGTTAACTGAATCATTGTAAAGACCTGACTCAAAAGAATGATTCATTCTGATTTTATTAACGCTCCAAAGATTGCACATACATCTGCCATGTTTTAATGAGAAACAACTTAAATACGAGTCTTTTCTTCACACTGAGTTACCATATGACTTCAGAAGACGTGTGTACAAGCCCTTTTGTTTTTGGCTGTGTGAGCTCACTACTGCAGAACTGTACTTTGGCCACGAGATTGTCTCGCATGTCTTGGGAGATAATTTCTGACACAGTCTGCAGATTTTAAAGTGTTTTGTGGACTATGTCCCGCTCTCACAAACACATGCGTGCGGTACGTAACATGATCTCTCTACTTGGTTTTTAAACGAATCTCCATGTTACCTAATAAACAATTTATGGCATCAGCTCTTAGCGATAATGAGGCCCATTCATTTTTAAAGTTCCCATGCACTTTCACGTTCTCAGACTCGATTGATGAGTAGCAAAAGGCCGTCTGCCCAGTGCTGTAAACTGTGTGTGTGAAATTCAAGCCTTTGCTGAGACTGTGATGACCACCATTCACTGGACCAGAGGGAATTTATTTCAGTAATCACTTCACTAAAATCAAAATACCCAACAATATCATGTTCTGCCAAACAACATCACCACTACGATAAACTTTGGCTGTCTTAACAGCTGCCAAGGGAATATCATGCGACATGCTGTGTATTCTGCAGACAATAACCTTTGAGTTAACAGCAGTCGTAAGACAGAGGTCATCAGCTCATAAGATTACCAACATGTGTTTCACCAGTTCACATTCATAACAGGTGCTTTAAATATTAGTTTACTTACCCATTGCAAGATTGTCAATCAA